TCATCAGAGCCAGCGGGAATCTCACAGAGCACCACCAGCGGAGAGGATGCAGTCTCTGCTTCCACACCAAGGACTGCTGGCCCTTTTACTACCCATGCTGATGGCGGACACACAACCACATCTCTTGCTGCAGGGTCCACTGTCTACACCGCCACTGCCCCCTCAGAGTTGTCCACACCATCCTTTGCCGCTACTGCCTCCCACAGCACAGATAGTGCGAGTCCCACCTCCACATCGAGCCCCAGTGAGCTCTCTACCCCCACTGTGGTCACTGGGCAAGCTGGCTCCGCTCCCACAGGCGAGACAACCACCATCTCCACTGTGCCAGCTTCATCTGAGCCCACGGCGCCAACCCACGTTTCCCATATCACAGACGCCGGCCGTTCCACGGTCCCATCTAGGCCAGGAGACCTGTCTACCAGCCCGGCTGTCTCAGCACCGACTGCTACTGGTGTCCCCCAGGAATCCACGGACCACGGCACCATCTCTGACTCTCCTCAACCTCCGGACTCATCGGCAACCACTTTTACCAAGGGTGATGCAAGTCCCATGTACACGTCTAGTCCCACCGAGTCTTTAGCCACTTCCCCGGGTTCGGGACCATCAGCCTCACCCAGTGCTACGGAGTCTACTTTCTCCACGATCGTCTCAGCGTCATCGGAATACACAGTGGCTTCCTATACTACAGGCTCTCCAAGTCCCTCCAGCCAGGGTGACTCTTCCACCAGCACCCTGACCACTGGACACAGCACTACCGCCCTTTCGGCCTTGCCCTCCGTCTTCACAACTGTGTCTGCTTTGACCGAAACGACCGTTACTTCAGAAACCTCCTATACGGTGGGTGACGGAAGCTCTGCGTCCCCTTCAGGTCCGGGCCAGCTGTCGACCACGCTCTCTGTCTCAGCACAGACGACCACGGGCCTCGTGGAGGGATCCAGTGTGTATACAGGCACCCCTCACTCATCAGAGCCAGCGGGAATCTCACAGAGCACCACCAGCGGAGAGGATGCAGTCTCTGCTTCCACACCAAGGACTGCTGGCCCTTTTACTACCCATGCTGATGGCGGACACACAACCACATCTCTTGCTGCAGGGTCCACTGTCTACACCGCCACTGCCCCCTCAGAGTTGTCCACCCCATCCTTTGCCGCTACTGCCTCCCACAGCACAGATAGTGCGAGTCCCACCTCCACATCGAGCCCCAGTGAGCTCTCTACCCCCACTGTGGTCACTGGGCAAGCCGGCTCCGCTCCCACAGGCGAGACAACCACCATCTCCACTGTGCCAGCTTCATCTGAGCCCACGGCGTCAACCCACGTTTCCCATATCACAGACGCCGGCCGTTCCACGGTCCCATTGAGGCCAGGAGACCTGTCTACCAGCCCGGCTGTCTCAGCACCGACTGCTACTGGTGTCCCCCAGGAATCCACGGACCACGGCACCATCTCTGATTCTCCTCAACCTCCAGACTCATCGGCAACCACTTTTACCAAGGGTGATGCAAGTCCCATGTACACGTCAAGTCCCACCGAGTCTTTAGCCACTTCCCCGGGTTCGGGACCATCAGCCTCACCCAGTGCTACGGAGTCTACTTTCTCCACGATCGTCTCAGAGTCATCGGAATACACAGTGGCTTCCTATACTACAGGCTCTCCAAGTCCCTCCAGCCAGGAAGACTCTTCCACCAGCACCCTGACCACTGGACACAGCACTACCGCCCTTTCGGCCTTGCCCTCCGTCTTCACAACTGTGTCTGCTTTGACGGAAACGACCGTTACTTCAGAAACCTCCTATACGGTGGGTGACGGAAGCTCTGCGTCCCCTTCAGGTCCGGGCCAGCTGTCGACCACCCTCTCTGTCTCAGCACAGACGACCACGGGCCTCGTGGAGGGATCCAGTGTGTATACAGGCACCCCTCACTCATCAGAGCCAGCGGGAATCTCACAGAGCACCACCAGCGGAGAGGATGCAGTCTCTGCTTCCACACCAAGGACTGCTGGCCCTTTTACTACCCATGCTGATGGCGGACACACAACCACATCTCTTGCTGCCGGGTCCACTGTCTACACCGCCACTGCCCCCTCAGAGTTGTCCACCCCATCCTTTGCCGCTACTGCCTCCCACAGCACAGATAGTGCGAGTCCCACCTCCACATCGAGCCCCAGTGAGCTCTCTACCCCCACTGTGGTCACTGGGCAAGCCGGCTCCGCTCCCACAGGCGAGACAACCACCATCTCCACTGTGCCAGCTTCATCTGAGCCCACGGCGTCAACCCACGTTTCCCATATCACAGACGCCGGCCGTTCCACGGTCCCATCGAGGCCAGGAGACCTGTCTACCAGCCCGGCTGTCTCAGCACCGACTGCTACTGGTGTCCCCCAGGAATCCACGGACCACGGCACCATCTCTGATTCTCCTCAACCTCCAGACTCATCGGCAACCACTTTTACCAAGGGTGATGCAAGTCCCATGTACACGTCAAGTCCCACCGAGTCTTTAGCCACTTCCCCGGGTTCGGGACCATCAGCCTCACCCAGTGCTACGGAGTCTACTTTCTCCACGATCGTCTCAGAGTCATCGGAATACACAGTGGCTTCCTATACTACAGGCTCTCCAAGTCCCTCCAGCCAGGAAGACTCTTCCACCAGCACCCGGACCACTGGACACAGCACTACCGCCCTTTCGGCCTTGCCCTCCGTCTTCACAACTGTGTCTGCTTTGACGGAAACGACCGTTACTTCAGAAACCTCCTATACGGTGGGTGACGGAAGCTCTGCGTCCCCTTCAGGTCCGGGCCAGCTGTCGACCACCCTCTCTGTCTCAGCACAGACGACCACGGGCCTCGTGGAGGGATCCAGTGTGTATACAGGCACCCCTCACTCATCAGAGCCAGCGGGAATCTCACAGAGCACCACCAGCGGAGAGGATGCAGTCTCTGCTTCCACACCAAGGACTGCTGGCCCTTTTACTACCCATGCTGATGGCGGACACACAACCACATCTCTTGCTGCCGGGTCCACTGTCTACACCGCCACTGCCCCCTCAGAGTTGTCCACACCATCCTTTGCCGCTACTGCCTCCCACAGCACAGATAGTGCGAGTCCCACCTCCACATCGAGCCCCAGTGAGCTCTCTACCCCCACTGTGGTCACTGGGCAAGCCGGCTCCGCTCCCACAGGCGAGACAACCACCATCTCCACTGTGCCAGCTTCATCTGAGCCCACGGCATCAACCCACGTTTCCCATATCACAGACGCCGGCCGTTCCACGGTCCCATCGAGGCCAGGAGACCTGTCTACCAGCCCGGCTGTCTCAGCACCGACTGCTACTGGTGTCCCCCAGGAATCCACGGACCATAGCACCATGTCCGATTCCTCTGCCGTTACACACTCATTTTCAAGCACTTTTCTGAAGTGGATAATAGTTACTTGCCCACATCAAGTTCCAGTGAGTCCTTTACTACTTCGGGAGGTGAAGGGGAAACAACCTTTTCTCCCGGGTCTGCTGTGAGTGCAGTAACTTCAACAGTGTCCAGCACAACTTATTCGTTCCACTCGTTGTATAGCACACATGAGGCAAATTCTGTTTTCCCTTCTCGTCCTAGTGACCTCTCTAACCCGACTCTACTTTCTGAAATAACCACTATAATTGTCACAGAAGAGCCGACTGTGTACACCAGTGTGTCTGATTTGTCCACATCTACTGTTTCCTCTGAAACTTCTTTTACAAAATTGGAAGGAAGTTCTGTCTCCTCTTCAGGTTCCGGCCAACTTTCTACTACCATGGGTGTCTCACAACAGACATCCTTAAGTCTGAGTGATCCGTCTACTGTGTATTCAGATACCCCTGATTTTTCCATAGGTACAACGAGTTCGGACACAACTCTTTCCAAGGAGAGCACAACTTCTGCCTCTACTTCAAGTTCAGGGGAAACCCTTTCCACTACAGGTGGATATCAAGAAACACTCACATCAGATCCAACAGTTTCACATGATACCTTGTATACTACTCATAATGAAAGTCATTCTTCCCCATCTGGTCTCGATGAATTAATTTCCACTACTCCTGTCTCTGGGCAAGTACCCACATTCCTTCCTGAAGCATCTACTGCCCACACAACCCTATCTGTTTTGTCTCACTCCACTGATTCAGTGGTTACCTCCTCTACCACTGTAAATGGAAGTTTTATTTCCACACCAAGCTCTGATGAATCATCCACTACTATCTTGGTCTCTGCACAAACAGCCACAATTTTCACAGAAAAGCCAACCATCTACACCATTTCTGATTTGTCTCATTCTGCAGTTTCTATTGACACTTCCTCTACCACTCCTAGTCGGGGTTCTACGCCCTCATCAAGTTCTGGCTTGTTGGCTTCCACTACCATCACAACCATCACTGAGAAATCCAGTGTCTTCACCACTACCACTTATTCCTCCAAGACAACTGATTCATCTGATGCACCCAATACCACTGAAGATCTTAGTCCATTATCTTCATCAAGCCCCATCCATTCCTCTTCACTCCCAGCCACTTCTGGACTAATGCCCACCACCTTGAATGAGAATTCCACTCTCTTCATCACCAATAGTGATTCTGCCAAACCGATGATTTCTACTTCCATCCCCTCTGCCACAGACAGCCCTAGTTCTACATCCCCATCAGCTCTAACTTTCTCTTCTACAACTAGAGTCTTCTCCAGACCAACAGCTACCACCCTCAGTGGAGGATCTACTATCTTTCAAAGCAGCACAAGGTCACCAAGCATACCAATATCATATGACAGTTCCCGAACTATAGTCCCTGGTGCTTCTTCAGCCTCAGCTATCCCTGGTTTTTCCTCCAGGCCAGTCTCTGACTCTTCTTCAGCCATTACAACTTCCTCTGGTTTTTCTCCTCTTCTGTCCTCCACTCTACCTGGCTCTTCCCATACTCTAGTCCCTGGGGTCACTACTTCTTCAACTCTCCATCCCCTGTTCACTAGCACACACACAACTGTGATGGCGACCCAGTCTTCAGCTACAACAGTGAGTAAGTATTTTTGTATGTCACTCTGTGTGCCTCTCCTGCTCATCAGCTCTCCTTTCTCATCAGCTAATCAGCTTTGACCTCTTTGTGGTCTTGTTCCACCTTTCCAGTGTCTTCTTGTTGTCAGTGCATGTCATCCACATGGATAATGTTGTTTTGTATTTTCTCTTTTTATTTTTAGAGCTCTTGCTTTCTTTGCTCATCCCCTCTCATTTCTTGTTTCCGTATTCCCCATTGTCCTTCATCCTTTCTATCCCCTTGAGGCTTGAGGTTATGGTAGAGGGTTCTATTCTCCTCTATCAGCGCAATGTCTGAATGACAGGACCTGGATTGGGGGCCAGTATTTTTGTCCCTTGGGCTTCCATGTTGACTGCTGTGAATTCTATCCCTTCACAGGGCAGTGCCACAATGGGACCATATGGAACGGAAAAGAGTGTGTCTGTGCCCAAGGCTTCTTTGGTTACCAGTGCAAGTCCCTTGTGGACTCATTCTTCATCGGTAATGAACTTTTCTGAGACCTGCAAATTGTCCCTAACCATTTAAATAGGAGGGCAACACTGGAAGGATTTTCTGCTACTGCTACCTCTTTGTGCAGGTAGAGGAAAAAATATGATATTTACCTAGGCCCAAATGCCTACGTAGAGGATGGACCCTTCTTCAGGGCTCTTTTCACTAGCTTATATGTCCGTTGGATCAAGATGTTTCTAACCCAACTCTTTCGGAGCCCTCCACTTAGCTTTCTCTGGGTCATGATCCTGGCCATTAACTCCTCATGGTGTTCAGAGACAAGGGCAAGAGTTTTAGTGACTCTTTTTTTTAAAAGATTTTATTTATTTATTCTTGAGAGACACAGAGAGAGAGGCAGAGACATAGGCAGAGGGAGAAGCAGGCTCCATGCAGGGAGCCTGATGTGGGACTCGATCCCAGGACTCTGGGATCACGCCCTGAGCCAAAGGCAGATGCTCAACCACTGAGCCACTCAGGCGTCCCAGTTTTAGTGACTCTTACTTGCCTCTTGAATTTCAATCCACCCTCCTACTCACTTTCTCTACCTCCATGAGACCAGGAGGCAGAGAATTAACCAATCCCAGAAGACATTATTGGGAGGTTGCTATCTCATGCATAATATGACCTATTCCCACAGAAATCCCGGAAAAAATCAATGCCACTTTAGGTGTGACAGTGAAAGTGACTAATAGGAATTTCACAAAAGACCTGAATAACATATCCTCCCCAGTCTACCGGAATTTCACTCAACTATTCAAGAGTCAGGTAAGAGCGGGAAAATCCCAGATTCCCCAATATGGATGTCCAATGTCATTGGGATACAGGAGCTCATTCTGATTGACTTTGGAGTTTCTCAGCCCATGGATCCCTTCAGTCTTCCCACGTCCTGAGAGGGGGTCCTCTTAGAGCCCCCTTCCTTGAGCAACACCTCACCCACATTCTAGTGGAGGGAGCAGCCCTATACCTTTCAGTCCTTCTTTTCTGTGAGCTAATACCTTGGGTTCCCTGGGGGAGGGGGCCCTGGGGCTTCCTCTGAGATGGAGCAGGGGCTGCTCAGCTGCCTCATTTCTTTCAGATGGATAAAGCTTATATGGGCAAAGACTTTCCCCAGTACAGAGGCGTGATCATTAGGAGACTGTTGTGAGTATGTGTGTGTGTGTTGGGGGCAGGTCAGATTTATAGACTGTGGGAAGCCCCCCTCTCTGCTCTCTTGTCTTCTCCCATCTTGAATGAGTATCAGTACCTGGCTGGGCCAGAGGGGACCCCCCCCACCCCGCAGCCCACAGGCAACACCAGAAGGCTCTTAACCATTCATTTATTCATTCATTTATTTATCCTTCATCCATTCAATAGCTTGTATTGAAAGCCTACCCTGTGGTAGGTGCAGGGAATGCAGCGGTTCTGGTCTTCATGGAGCAAAGGGTGGCAGAACATAGTAAAATAGCTGTGCAATATGGTTAGAGTTAACAGTAAAAAACACACAGGGTGCAATGGGAGAGGTTGAATGCAAGCTGGGTAAGGTGGAGGGAAATCTTTTGGGAAGACATGACAGCTAAGCTGAGGCTTGAATCATGAAGAATAAGCCATGTAGAGGGAATTGCTGATAAGGAGCTTAGAGGTAAAATAGAGGAGAGTTGATTGCAGAAACATAAAGAACAATTGGCAGCTTGAGATCATGGTGGGAGAGGAGGTGGAAAGATGATCCATAACCAGTTACTTAATCTTTAGGCATCAGTAGTTTTGGCCCATGTGGGAAGGTATCTTATTTGCACTTCAGAGAGTTCAATCTGGCTGCAGGACTGAGAATGGTGGACAGGGGAAGGAGATTATAGTGGCCTGGACCAGAGAGGTGACAATGCAGAAGAAAAATAGTCCAGTGTGAAAGGTCTTTAGGAAGCAAGACCAGCAGATCATGGAGATTTGATGGGTATTTGCAGAGAAGGAGGAATAGCACCAGTTTTCTGGGCTGCTGGGAGTATGGAGTACCCTTTGCTGAGATGAGGAAGGTAAGGAGGAGGGAGGTGGGAAAGAAGATGATGAGTGGGCCATATGGAGTTTCAAGTGCCCAGGGCCCAGCCACATTGAATGGTTGAGTAATAGAACAGCATGTGGTGGAACATGTGATAGAAAGTGTCTGCAGCAGAGACTCTGGTGTTGGTTTCCCTGGATAGAAGTTGCTGGAAGTCCTAAGAGTAGACCATATGGTGCTTGGGGATGTTCACAGCACAGGGGTGAACATTTCCCAGGAAAGAAGCATGTCAAGCACCAGCATCTAAGGGATAGGCAGGAGAAGCAGATCCCCTAAAGGAGAGTGAAAAGTAGAAGGGAGGGAAGGGAGCCTGGAGGGTGTCTTGCCCAGTAGGAAAAAAGGCATATTCATACTGTCAAGGGCCCATGCGCTTCTATGTCTCGGTGTCCTCACCCTACCCTCACCCCTTGCCCAGGACCAGCGCTTGTTTCCATCTCCCCTTGCCACAAGCTTTATGTTGGGTTTTGACCTCCTGTGTCCTGTTCCTGACTTCTCTGATAATGGCTGTGACTGGTGACAGATCTTATCTTAAGATCTCTCAGTGTCCCATTGGCCATCTAACAAGGAGCTTCTGGATTGGAATCTTATATTTCTTTTTTTTTTTGGAATCTTATATTTCTAAAGTGACCTCACATTTTTTTCATTTCTAAAAGCATACTTATTTGGTTTTAAAATATAGTCCAACAGCCTCCATTTAAAAAGTTTTAGTTTAAAATATTTTTTATTGTGGTAAAATAGCCATAATATAAATTTTGCCATTAACCACTAAATTAATCATTTTTAAAATTTTTATTTATTTATGATATTCACACACAGAGAGAGAGAGAGAGAGGCAGAGACATAGGCAGAGGGAGAAGCAGGCTCCATGCACCGGGAGCCCAACGTGGGATTCGATCCCGGGTCTCCAGGATCACGCCCTGGGCCAAAGGCAGGCGCCAAACCGCTGCGCCACCCAGGGATCCCTAAATTAATCATTTTAAATGGCATTAAGTGGCATTAAGTACATTAACATTGTTGTGCAACCACCACCACAGTCCATCTCCAGAGCTTTCTCATCCTCTCAAACTTAAACAAAAACTCTCAACTCCTCCTCAACCCACCTCAGGCAACCCCCATTCTACTTTCTGTCTCTAGGAACTGGATAACTCTAGGGACTTCATATTAGTACTCATGCAAATATTCATACAGTATTTGTCCTTTTGTTACTGGCTTATTTCACTTGGCACAATGTCCTCAAGGTTCATCCACATTGCAGCATGTGTCAAAATTTTCTTCTTTAGTAAGATTGAATAACATTTCATTGTACTGTATACCACCTTTTGTTTATCCATTCATCCATCAGTGGACACCTACTTAGGTTGCTTCCACCTTTTAGCTATTGTGAATAATGCTTCTATGAACATGGGTGTACAAATATGTCTTTAATCCCTGCTTTCAATTCTTTTGGGTAAATACCAATAAGTGGAATTGCTGGGTCATATGGTAATTTTATTTTTAATTTTTTGAGGAGCTGTCATACTGTTTGCCGCAGTGGCTGTACCATTTGACATTCCTGCCAACAGTGCCCAAGGGTTCAATTTTGCCACATCTTCACCCAAGAGCTTCCATTTTTAGGAATGAATTTTATCCAATGGCATTTCTTGTGATCACTGATATTTTGGAATCTTAGATCATTTTACTCTGCAGCTTCTGTCTAGGATGTTAACTGTTGGAGAGAAGAGTCCCTAGTCTGTTCTGCAACTGAGTCACATAGCTAACTGTCTCCCATCACCCTTCTTGCTTTGTGGGCCCCACTTTCTGGGAGGGTGGGTGACCCAGAGTGACTGATGAATCATTGACTCCTGATTCTAGCAATGGCAGTGTTGTGGTGGAACATGATGTTGTCATGGAGACAAACTACACTTCAGATTTTCAGAAACTGTTTGAAAACCTCATTGAAATCATAACGGTCAAGATTATGAATGAGACCAAAAGGCTACCTGGTGATTCGGAAGAGTGCAGAGGTAGGCCCTGATGGTGGTAGGGAAAGGATGAGAGGGGTCCCATAGGGAGGTCTCAGCCTCTGACTGCCCTGCATCTCTCCTCTTTTCTGGAACTCCAGAGACTTACCCATAGGGATCCAGAAGCCCCCCCGGGTGTCTTCCCTAGACTCTGCAGTGTGCCCCAGCAGCTGCTCCTGGTCTCGGGCTCAGGTTGTCAGCATCCCTAATGCCTCTATCTGAGTCTGCTTACAGGCTCAGCTGCATCTAGGGATAGGCCAAGACTCTAGTAGGGTAGAGAGCAGTGTTTATGTTTTGTTCTTTCCTGCCATGCTTAGCAGCCTCCTTACATCTGTGCTACAATGAGGAAGCCACCATTGTGAACAAGACTGTGAAGCTGGACTTTGACCTGCAGGGTAAGCACCTCCATAGAGTGGTGGGTGTTGGGGGACAAGTATGGGCAGTACATATGGAGGCTGGGGGCACTTTAACCAGGCTGATGCTTGCTGCCCACTCTTCACCCCAGAGCAATGCACCCAGAAGGCTGCAAAGGACTATGCCCAGTTCTACTATGTGGATGAACTGGATGGGAAGCTGGCCTGTGTGACCAAGTGCACTTCTGGGACTAAGTCGCAACTGAACTGTCATGAGGGTGAATGCCAGTTGCAACGAAGTGGCCCCCGCTGTTTGTGAGTGTCCAGTCCCTCTAAGGCCAGCACCCACTCTGTCTCGTGGTAGGACTGTACCCTTCACCACAGTCATGGAGCAGGGGTGGGGAGGGAGAGCTCCTCCCCACCATCCCTCTTGCTTCTACCTGGGTTTCCCTTCACTCCTAGCCCCCACCAGAGGGAAGAGGAGGTGCAGGTTATAGACATGAGTGTCTTAGGACAGAACAAGCCCCTTCCTGAGAAAGTTCCAGTTACCAATTTCCAATTCTGTATCTATAGATCTCTATCTCTACATTTCATTTTCCTTTTGGTATCCTAGCCACAGTGCCATTATCACATGTAGCTATAGCTGGGGCACTAAATTTGGGAGAGCATAAATTAAAGCATAAAATAGGGGCAGCTCCGGTGGCCCAGGGGTTTAATGCCGCCTTCGGGCCCGGGGTGTGATCCTGGAGACCCGGGGTTGAGTCCCGCGTCAGGCTCCCTGCGTGGGGCCTGTTTCTCCCTCTGCCTGTGTCTCTGCCTCTGTCTCTGTGTCTCTCATGAATAGACAAATAAAATCTTAAAAAAAAAGCGTAAAATATAGGAGCACTTGGGTGGCTCAGTGGGTTAAGCGTCTGCCTTTGGCTCTGGTTATGATCCCAAGGTCATGGAATTGAGCTCTGTGTCAGGCTCCCTGCTCAGAGGGGAGCCTGGTTCTCCCTCTCCCATCTGCTTGTGCTCTCTCTCTCTCCCTCAAATAAATAAAAAATAAAAATAATTTTAAAAAGCATAAAATATAAAATTGGTAACAGGCCAGTCAAGTTGCCAGCTAGAGATTAGATGGGTGGACATCACGTTCCTAGGACAAGGCATCCAAAACTCAGATTCTGAATCCTGCTCTGTACTAGGGCATCTCCCACCCCCTCACTGCCCTTTAAGTATTAGGGAGCCTCCTAACCTGGGTCCTTCCTAACCAATGCCTGTCCTTGGAGGGAGGGAAAGCCAGTTTCCAGTGGTTTGGCATTCATTTTTCTTTTTTGGGAGACTGGGTGTGAGGGATGTTAGCTGGCTGTCCTGATCTTGGGTCTGTTCCCAGATGCCCGACCTCAGACACGCACTGGTACTGGGGAGAGACTTGTGCATTGAGAACCAGCAAGAGCCTGGTGTATGGGAGTGTGGGGGCTGTGGGAGCACTGCTGGTGGTCATGGTGGTGGTCCTGATCGTCCTCCTCGGCCGATCCCAGAGAAAACTGCACAGGTGAGCTTCTGGGGCTGGGCCCAGGGAAAGGGGAACACAGTTGGAACATCCCAAGGTTCTTCTCCTTCCAATTCAGCATTTGGAGGCCTGATGGGGACACAGCCCCTCTCAGCTCTGGGTAACAGCAAAAGGCAGCCTGCTGATCTGACCTGATCTGTTTGGCAGAGAAGTGCATCTTAAAACTTGGGTCCTGAGATTGGATTATGTAATGACATTACCTGGTGTTATCACTTTGGCTGCCACAGAGCCACGTTGTTGCACTGGGACACTGGGGATGAGCTATCCAGTGTTGCTTTCTCAGCTGTAAAATGGGAGGAAATCCACCTAAGAAGATTGAGAAACGATGGGCACAGTGCCCCTGATGCCTCTGATATGGTCAGAGGGAGTTGCTCTGACTCTGATCTAATGCTCCCTTCTCAAAGATAAGGGAACAGAGGCCTACTGAGGGAGGGGCAGGCCACGGTGATGTTGTTTTGTTTTCTGCTACTGCCCTGGGGACAGGCCCCTCCCTGAACCAGGGCTTGGCTGAGGTAGCCCTTTCCAGAAGCCAAGGGTCAGGGCTCTAGGCTCCCTCCTCCACCTCCCTGCCGCCAGCTGTTCACCTCGTTTCTGTTGGCAGGCAAGAATACAAACTGTCTTGGGAGTGGCAAGGAGAAGACATTCCTGGCAGCTTCCAGAACACAGGCATCTGGGAAGGTACTTCTCACCAGGAACAAGCTAGTGGGCGGAGAAAGGCCGAGAAGGTGCTGCAGCCAGATTCAGTGTGGCTGTGGGTGCCAGCTGGGTTTGTGTGTCCTGTGGCTGCCCGGCTCTGCCAGCTTCTCTGCGACCTCCTGACCCTGCACCTTTACGCTGCCTCTGCTGACTTTGTCTTTTCTCAGCTCCTCTCTAACACTCCCATCTGTGTGGGGCTGACGCTCACCTTTACCTTCTTCATGCTTTTGCGCCTCCTGCACCACTGTATGGAGGGTTCCCCTCCTTGGGGGCTCTGTTTCCAAGGTCTAGTTCAAACACTGCCCCTCCATAGTGCCTCCTGTGTGTTCAAGCTCTTCTGATTCTCCGCTGCCGTGGAAAACCACCATGTCACATCTGCTAATCTCTTGCTGCACTGAGATGAATGATCGCAGTCCCTGGGCAGGTCCTGCCCTACCAGTTCCTTCTGACAAACACCATGGAGGGTCAACAGGCATGGCTGAGTCAGATCCTGCCCCCCAAAGACCAGCCCCTGTGAGAGCTTCAGAGGCACACACAGTCAGTGGGAGGACAGGGCCATGCCTTGGGCTCCAGGGGCCCAGAAGTATGTCCGCCCCAGCCAGGGTGGGGAGGGATCAGAAAAGACTGCAGAGGAGGTATCACCTGAGCCAGTCTGCAGGCTGGAGCAGTACTGAGAGCTGGTGAATAATCTGGATGCTTCCTGCTTCCAGGAACACAGATCCCAGGGAGGTTGTGGAGGTCTCTGTGAGCCGTAACACACTGGAGGGGCTTTAAGGGAGGGAGTCCAGGGATACATTTTGAACAGCTTACTCAAGTGGACTTGGGGAGGGACAGCCCTAAAGTGGGGAGACCAATGAGATGGCTCTGCAGTATGCAGGGGATGGAGGATGCAGCTGAGTCGGGGTAGGAGGGATCGGAGGAATGGACAGCAGAAATGTAGTTTAGATGCCAGTGAGCTGGGCCGGGTTGTTCCTCACAGGCTGGAAAAGGGAGAAGGCCTGGAGCACTGCCTGGCAGCGGAAAGAGGCAGCAGGTGGGACACACTGTGGGCCAGTGAAAGGAGGCACCACCAGCTCTGGTCTGAACCCTGGGGAGAGGTCTCGGCCAGTGGGCAGCTGGGAGTGGTCAAGGAAGCATACAGGCATGGAAGAGGGCAGGGTAAAGGGCAGAGTCCCTGGGAAGACTTTGAAGGAAACAAAGAAAGGCATGATCATGGAGGATGAGGAGGGTGGGATGTGCAGAACTGGGAAACTGGCTGCTGAAAACATGCCAGCTCCAAGAGAAGATTCTGGGCCCTGCTGGTTTCTGCTTGCCCTGGTTCCCATTGCTGTGAGGGTGTGTGAGCTGGTGACCCCTGAGCAGTGCCTTCCTCCCGGTCCACTCTCACCCAGATCATCCCCAAGCCTACCCATGGTCATGACTTCTGCCCCTGAAGCATGTCAGGGGGCTGTTGTTCCCTCTTGTCCTCTCATCCCATTGGGCCAGCTCCCCGGTCACACTCCCAGAGCCACTTCATAGACTGGCTGCAATGGTGGAAGGATGGTTGGGCAGTGGGAGATACTTTAGGGAAGATACTGGAAGAAGTCTCCCTTTATGCCTCTCCAGCCTCCCCCAGGCTCACTCAGCCTGGCCCCTCTTTCTGCAGATGAGAATCTGAAGGAGGACAGATTCAGCCTTGAAAACATCTATGACCATTTCCAGCCCTCCCTGGAGAACGTGGATCCCACCATGGAGGTGATTCAGGGGCCTGTCCTCAGCTAGGAGCTCTACCCTCCCCATCCCCCAACCCACTACCTACCACCCACCACCCACCACCCTGGGGCTGCCCAGGGACGTCAGCACCCTGGTCCAGAGATAGGTAACTTCCACCGGACATGGCCATAGCTGAGGGCCCGTTGGCCTCACTTCCTCTCTCCCACCCCCAGTTCCACATCCAGAGGCCCAGGGTGGTGACCACTGTTCAGTGAGCGAGGCAGAGGCTCCCACTCCTCATCCAGATTTGGACAACAAGACATCAGCAGAGAGAGAAAACCCACCACTGTGCTACTCCTCAGCGCCCTCGTTGGTTAAAAGCAAATAGAGCATCGGGGCTCAAGGTGGTCCTCTCAGAGCTGGTGGGCCTGGCCAGCCCCTGCTGTGAGCCCCTCTCCCCACCCCCTCACCCTCCAACCAGGGGCCCCGGGGCTGCCCAGACACCCTGACACCTTTGCTCCAGTGACTTCCCACTCTGAAATTTCCCTCCCAATAAAAGAGCAAGGTTTAAAGCAGAGTTGTGTTTTCTTTCTCTACCCTGCAGGGGGGCCTGCCCCCCCCACCTGGGGCTCCAGGGATCCCTTCTTGGAGAGAATGCACTCCAACCAGGATTAGATGCCATATCTGGACACAAGACACTCTGCACTCAGCCCCTTCCTGGGACCACATGTTGAACATGCAGCATGGATCCTCTCTGCTGCTCCAAGCCAGGGCAGGATCAGGCCCCCTCTGCCTGAGGTCACTGTGGCAGGCAAGCCTGGGACCAGACTTTGGGGGCCTCAGGCCCAGGGAGTGAGGAGTGGAGGCCCACAGAAGGTGAAGGAGTGAGCACTTGGCTTTGTTGACTTTGGAGGGGGGACAAGGTCACTCCGGATGGCCATGGAAGCTTGTGCCCACCTGTGAACTCACAGATAGATGTCAGGAATGCAGCCATCCTGGAGCTGGGGCTCTGGCTCAGGTGTGGCCATGATTTACATCCCATGTCCTGGTGGGGTACCTGCAGGTAGAGAGCTTGAGAGGAAAGGGAGGGGGAGCGTCCTTACCGGGGGCTGGAGTTGAAGCTTCTCCTCCCTGGTACAGGCCCAGCGTCTTCTGCTCCATACCCCCTGCCCACTGCCTCCCCCCACGGGTCTTCTCCGTTCTTGCAGGTTGCTTCAGGCCCCTGTGCCTGCCCTTTTGTTGGGGCGAAAAATCAGACAGCCTGTGTGCTTGTGTGTTGCCTGGCAAGGGAGGGGCTCCCCTCCCTCTGCCCTTTGGCCTGAAATAAAGCCCGCACCCCCAATCATGAGAAGCTCATACACTGACTCAGGTGGGCTGGCCCAGTTCTCCAGTGTCTCAGGGATCAAAGGGCTCTGGGGCCCATTTATTACCGGGGTTCCTTGGCTGACACTCATTTGCCCGTTCCTGGGAGGGTACACAGCAGGTCCACTACCCTCAGAGCTACGATGTCAAGACTGGTGACCGTGATGCTCTGCCTGCTGCCCCTTACCATCCAGCTCCTGTTCCCTCATGCTGCTGCTGGACACAGTGAGTGAACCCCAAGTCTGCCCAGGCCTGAGGAAGGGCTGCTTTCTGGGGGGCACGGGTCGGGGGATCCTCTGCTCGGAGCTCAGCTCATGCCCATCACCCTCTCCTCCTGGCTATATTCGGGAGAAGAGCTAGGCCTTTGGGTGCATACAAGTTAGTCTCTCAGTCTGCTTACTCTCTAAAATGAGAATAAGAGCTCAGACTTGTCAGGACCGGAGGATTAGCACGGCCCCTGGCATATGGCAGATGCTTCACTGATGTTAGGGTCTGCTCTTACCTTGTGGATGTGGCTGTCTGACCCCTGGTCACCTCCCACCAAATATCTAGGCCTTCCCTGCATGACTGGGACAAATGTCTGAAGTCTCTGCTCTGACTCTCATCCTGGCCATTTCTGTATCACCTCATCCCTGCCTGGTACCCTGAGGATGTCCTAGGGTTGTTGGGTAGCCAAGAACAGGGAAAGGGCCACTGCTGTAGCCAAATGGGCACAAGATGGGGTTTTGGGAGCCCCAGATTCCTTTTTTCTAAAAGATTATATTTATTTATTCATGAGAGACAAGAGAGAGGCAGAGACACAGGCAGAGGGAGAAGAAGGGTCCCTGTGGGGAGCCTGATGTGGGACTCAATCCCAGGATCCTGGGATCACGACCTGAGTCAAAGCAGACACTCAACCACCGAGCCACCCAGGCACTCTGGGAGCCCCAGATTCTAATCCTGTGATGAATCAGCTGTGCGCCATGGTGCAATTCAGCTTATCTCTGGCATCACTGTCTTCCCCTAAAAGACAAGGCTTGGACCCTCTAAGGGTTCCATGGCCATGGGGACTGGGGTCAAGTTGGCAGAGGTTGACAAGGGGTTCTGGTCAGACCCTTCAGGACTTTCCTCTGCCACTCGCCTGTCCTTAGAGAAAGAAGGAGGGGAAAAGGCAGAAACCAAACTACCGGACTCAGGTTCTCACTCTCTTGAGACGTCATCCTGGGATGGCTGGGGTGGGGTTAGCAGGGGACTTGGAGGCAAAAGTAGGGGGCTCACGCTGTGCCCTGTAGATGCCACTCAAACTGCCATGTCTTGGGCTCTGTCTACCCTAAGCTCACTATACCAGGAGCAGAAGGGGCTCCCAGTCACCTGGCCCCAGACCTTGGGTAACTCTTCTCCAAAGAAGGAATGGGGTGAGGGCAGGGAGCCAGTGGCCTCCTTGGCTCAAACCCACTCACAGGAGGCAGGGCTTTTTCTGGGGACCAGCCTGAGGGCTCATGGGGCAAAAGAAGAGGTATGGGAGGAGGACGGGAGGCAGCAGCCTGGGGCAGGGTGGGGCAGTGAGTGGCTTGGTTTAAAGGGCTGGTTCACTGACCTGAACCCTGCCATCACTTGGCACAGACTCCCAATGTGATGGCACCTGGAGCTGTCACCTTGTTAGTAATAAAAATGACACCCTTTTCCTAGGCACTGACTATGCTGTCCAGATTCTTAGTGCCTTATCTCTAATAAATGCCATTTTAGACACTGTGATGGGCCTTATTTCGGGAAGATGTTTCCAGCTCTCTCGTTCCTCCACCACCCTGCCCTCCTCTTTTGCTTTCTGTTTCATCTTTCTGGCCCATCTTTCCCCTCCTTCTTCCTCCCCATTTCCTCCTTCTCCCCTCTCCTTGGCCTCTTCCACATTCTGCATGCTGTGGCTCATTGCACTTCTAACCTCGGTCTTCCCCTTGGTGAAATGGAGCCTTACAGATTCTCTGCTCCTGTTCTCTGGTCCCCTTTGTGAGCCTGGCATCAGCTGGTCTGTAGAGCCATGGCCAGCTTTGAGTGGCATCTGACTCTCTCGTGTGCCCTTCCTGGGGACGCAGAGCCACATCCCTTCTCAGGTTACTGGGCTGGGGATGTCTGAGTGGGGCGTGGGCCTCACAGAAGAGCCTAGTGGCCTTCACCTGGCTCTTCCAGGTTGGCACACCCTCTCATGACCACCTGGCCCTTCCTTCCAGCACACCGTGGTTAAATTGCTTGTCAATGAAACACAACATCTTGGGCCCAGTTTGGCTCTGTCCAGCCGTGGCAAGTCCCTCTCACCTCTCACACCCAGCACAAACAGGTCTGAAGCATGGGTGCTCAGTCATCTCCTTCTGCCCTCTCCTCTCCTCCCCATCCTGAGTGCCTTCACCCACATCCTCACCACCACCCTACTGTCATCGTCCCGAGGGAGTGTAAGAAACATACACTCCAGTGGTTACCCTCCCCCTCTGCATCAACAAGGTCTACGTCCTCCTCTGAGCCTTCCTGGGGGTCACGACTGACTTCTCTCCCCTAGAACCCACTGCCATGACCACAGGTGCCTAGAAAGATTCTCTCCCCCTGGACTACCATAATAAATTAGCACAACCTGAGTGGCTTAGAACAACAGAAAAAAATCTTGTCTCATGATTCTGGGGGTCAGAAGTCCAAAATCAAGATGTCAGCAAGGCCATGATCCGTGTGATGACTCTAGGGGGAGATCTTTCCTCCTGTTTTCTATCTTCTGGGCTTACTGGCCATCCTTGGGGTTCTGTGGCTTGAATATGCATCCCCTTAGCTTCCTGGCCATCTTTGCCCTATGTGTCTTCACATTGTCTTTCCAGTCTGTGTATGTCTGTTTCTGGGCTCCAAATTTCTGCCGATTTTGTTTTGTTTTGTTTACCCTATTCTATCCATCCCCTCACCCATTTCTCCTCTGGTAACCATCAGTGTATTCTCTGCAGTTAGAGTCTGTTTCTTACTTTGTCCCTCTCTCTCTGTTTTTCCCTTTATTTGTTTTGTTTTTTAGATTCCACATATGAATGAAATCATATGGTATTTGTCTTTCTCTGGCTTATTTCAACTTAGCATTACACTCTTTAGCTCCATTCGTGCTTTGCAAATGGCAAGATTTAATTCTTTTTTATGGCTGAATAATATTCTGTCATATAATATCCCATCTTCCTTATCCATTCATCTGTCAATACGATACTTGAGCCGATTCCATCGTTTGGAATTGTAAATAATGCTGCAATAAACACAGGGGACATGTATCCCTTTGAATTAGTGTTTTTGTAATTTTGGGGTAAGAACCCAACAGTGTGATTGCTGGATCATAGGGTAGCTCTATTTTTAACCTTTGAGGAACCTTCATACCATCTTCCACAGTGGCTGCACCAATTTGCATTCCCACCAACCATGCATAAGGGTTCTTTTTTTCTCCACATCCTCAACAACACCTGCTGTTTCTTCTGGTTTTGGTTTTAGACATTCTGACAGGTGTGGGGTGGTATCTTATTGTAGTTTTGATTTGCTTTTCCCTGATGATAAATGATATTGAGCATCTTTTCATGTACTATTGGCCATTTGTGTCTTCTTTGAAAAATGTCTATTCATATCTTCTGCCCATTTTTAAATTGGATTATTTGTTTTTTGGGTATTGAGTTTATATCAATCCTTATATATTTTAGATACTAACTCTTTATCGGAGATGTTGTTTGCAAACAACTTCTCCCATTCCGTAGGTTGTCTTTTAGTTTTGTTGATTATTTCCTTCACTGTGCAGAAACCTTTTTATTTTGATGTAGTCTCTGAATTTCCCCTCTTTATAAGGACACCAGTCATAATGGATAGGGCCCACCCTAATAACCTCATTTTAACTTGATTACCTCTATAAAGGCTTATCTCCCAATGAGGTCACATC